TAAGTTGCCACATCTTCAATTTCTAGGCTGCTGATGGTGAGAGTGTAATGGGCCCCAGATCCACGGCCACTGAACCTTGATGGGACCCCCGATTGCACACTGGATGCATCGTAGGTCAGGAGCTCAGGGGCTTTCCTTGGTTTCTGCTGATACCAAGCTACATCCTTGCCTATGTCCTGACTGACCAGGCAATTAGTGGTGACTCTGTCTCCTACAGATGCAGATAGGAATGTTGGTGACTGGGTCATCTATTTGGCACATTTGGCACCTGGCATTGGGAACATAAAAGCAAATATATACACAGTTAATGATGATATCAATGACATCTCTTGAAAGGTCACTGAACACAGACCACAGTTCATTGTGTAACTTCACAGTGTTGCCCTTCCTTACCTGGGAGCCAAAGCAACAGGAGCCCCAGGAGTTGAGTGAGGACCCTCATGTACATGCTGTGTCCTGACTGGGACTGACTCCTGCTATGCAAATGACTAACCTAATAAGCATCCTCAGGGGAGTGGGCTGTGTTCTGGGCACATGCAAATCAGCAGGGCTGGGTGGGGATGGGCACCTGCAGGGCTGATCCCCTCACTAACTCTGCACAGCCCCAGGGACACCAGATGGCCCTGATCAGGCTAGGGACCCAGAGAAGGTGCTTGTCAGTGGCAAGTGTTTTGTTGCAAGATACTTAGGGGACATCTGTGAACACTTGAAATTGGCCAGAGAACTACATGAATTAATTACTTACATTGGGATCACTACTCAGAAGAACAATTTTTAATAAAGAACCTATTGTGTATTCTCAGAGTGTAGAGCTCTCAATCCAATTTATTTTCAAATATTTTCAGGTGCTATACTGATTTCACTGTCTTGAGAATAAAATTCTTCTAGTATTTTCCAATTAAAATGAGTACACATTGGGCCTATATACATATATTCTAAAACATTTTTATTGACCTTCATCCACTGTTATTTTCTGTGTAGTACCAAGCAACGTTCTGCAGACAACTAGAAATAATGTCATTCTTTCATTGGCAAGGGTGTCCCTTTCAGATGTACCAAAGCTGCCAAAGCTATTCATGTCTTCCACATGCAGAAACTACCTGGACTCCAGCTTAGTCTTGGTTTGGAGACCTCTGAATTCTACCCTGGTCTATGCTATTTGCTAACATTTATCACAGTTTGCCATGGCAAAGAGCTAATTAATGGTGTCTCATCTAATTGATTCAACAGATTCTGGTTTCTCTACCTCTAAGATCTGGGCTTAGGTTAAAAATGCAAAAAAAAAAAAAAAAGACATTTGAACAACTGTCTGCATACTTGCTAAATGCATAAGTATTCCTCCTTTATGCCTCATAATGAATTCTAAATATAATCACCTTAGAAAATTTTTAAAATACATAAGGCCACATTCCCTAGGAGCTGTCTGCTCGGAGACCCAATTGGGTCATCCTTAGTAATTGGTTTGCACTAATAATAACCCTCATATTTGTTTTGAGGAGTTATTTTTGGAGATGGTTAATTTTTTTTCTACAACCATGTACCTCTAATCAGTGTTTCCTGAAATTTCAGAGATTTCTTGTTGTTATTTCTTCAAGAATTGTCTCTGTCTCTTCTGCCTTTTGCTACCACAGCTCATATAATGTACACATCATAGGAGCTTGGTTACATCAAGCGAGTCCTTAGAATCTCATTTCTCACTGTTATTCAATGCTTTTCTGTTTATTCCATGACTCAATAATTCCCAGCAGGACTGTTTTCAATATGGCTGATTCTTTCTTTTGCCTGTTGAAACCTAGTCGTGGACTTCCCAATTTAGTTGTGGTTTGTTTTTTTTTTTTAATTCTATAATTTCTTTGAAAATGTGATTGTTCTCTCATAAGTGATATTTGTATTTAACCATACAGTTTTTTTTTCCTAGACTATTATCAGTTCTTTGGCTGTTTCCTTTTTATTCTGTACATCTATTTAAGTATTTAAGGCAATCATATGAAAGATGATGCTTTGTAAGTCTCAGATATTTGTGTGTTCAGTGATAGTTTTTGCAGTGTTTTAAAATTTGAATAGGACAGATTCTCTATCTCTCCGTCTTTGTTCTCTCTCTCTCTCTCTCTCTCTCTCTCTCTCTCTCTCTCTCTCTTTCTCTCTCTCTTTCTCCTCTATTGAAATATTATACACTTGAAATAAATATACACTTTTCCCTGTGATTGGGTATTGATAACACAGCTTTACTAAAGGTTGGGTACTCCCCCTGGGATGTGGCTTCTACCTAAGTGAAGAAAGTGCTGTTAAATTTTTGTGGGGTGTGGATCTGGGTTTGTAGTGGGTTTTTTCTAGATGCCTCTTGTTTTGAAATCAGTTATCAATGGTGTCCTCAGCCAGCCTGTCCATGGCTTCCACGTCTTCTTGGATTTCACGATTGTCCTACATGTGGCATCCACGTTCCACGTTGCCCACCACTGACTTCCACAGGTTCGTCTGAAAACCTTAGTGTTGTGCTATACTTCTTTTCCCTGCCTGAATCAGGAAATATAGAACTAACTAGATTTTAAGAATATTAGAGACAAGTTAGAAAATTTCAAATAAATTCCACTGTGCTTCTTTTGGTTCAAAGGAGAGATTAGAAATTGGGGTCTATTTCTCACCTGTGTCCCATAATGATGGTTGGAGCAAAGGTATGCGAAGAACCCCAATGTGTTCTACTGTAATTAAAGAGGTCTTTCATTTCCTTGTAATCCAAGAGCATGACTTCCTTCCTTCCTTCCTTCCTTCCTTCCTTCCTCTTTGCTTCCTTCCTTTTTTCTTTCTTTCTTTCTTTCTTGCTTGCTTGCTTTCTTCATTTCTTTTCTGTCTCTCTTCCCTTCTAATTTCTTTTTCACTTTCACTGTAGATATTTTAATGATATCTAAAACATATAAAAGTTTTCTTATTGAGTGTATAGATTTCCATTTGTTTACTTTTTTCATCAGTATGTGTAAGAAATATGTTCTGGAGTTTCCTATTTTGCTAATAGGATACTGATCATTCCTGGTATCAATGTAAAATAAAAAGTTATTGAGCTCACGTGTTAAATGGGAAACATTAAATTTTATATGTACTCCATTATATTCTTATCTAATATACTAAAGAATAATGTGTCATAATTTCAGTTGGACTCATCATGGAATATATTGTGTTGAAATATGCAGCATTCTCAAACACAGCTCATTATCTTAAGGACCAGCAAAGCTTCATCCTTTTATTCCAAATCATCAATTTCTACTATAGTGTAATATTGTATTTTATTTTTAAATATTTTCTGAAATTGTATGTATTTATCTTTAAAATATGGAAATCATCCATTATTACTTATGCTATGTTATCATCACCCTTCTGCTTTATTTTATTTTCATTTTGAAACTATTTGTGATGATTTAATATGTAGGTTTTGACTGACCAACATTTTCGCAATAAAATCTTCAGACCTAACCTAAAAAATTCCCACTTATTAATAAAATTATAAACTTTTATTTTAAATAGAACTTAATAAATCTCGACAGACCACTACTTTCCAGGCAGAGGCATCAACATAGCAGAAGTCAATAACAATAACAATTGGTCTAAAAATCAAGATGAAAATGGCATGCAGGACTTAGGAAAGAAATGAACATAAAATCCAAAAGTTTCAAGGGAGAAGTGCCCTTTCAGCAACCAAGTGTTCTCCCTTCTCTTGTTCCCACATGTGCTTTTCTAAACTCAGATGTCAACTGAGACTCTTCCTTTTCCACACAGAGGGTCCACACTGCAGAATGGAGCCCAGCCAAGCTGTGACTTGTGGGGAGACCTTCCAAGACTGGGGAGAGGCTGAGCCCTGCACACCAAGCTGGGCTCTGCTAGGAGAGTGGCGCAGAACACTGCCTGGCCCTGAACAGGAGAGAGACCTACGCTGAGAAGGGAGGCTGTGTGACGGAGGGGACAGAGAAAGAGTCTTGATTGCAACAAACTAATGCCCCTGTGTACACTAACTAAGGGGACTCTATGCTGAAAAATGGTATATTACTTTTTGTGCACCCACAAACGAGCCTTGATTATGAGGCTGTGATTTGGAAAGAACTTAACCCACAATGTATAAAGGCAAGGAGTACTAGGCTGAGTTTCATTCAGCCTTCTTCCCATCATGCTGGCTGCCCAGAGGGCTGGTGAACTCCTTTTTCCTCACCACTGCTCATGCCCTGGCTGGCTGAGGGGAGCTTAACGCATGGTGTCCTGACGACATCCTCTGGCTGTGAGAGGGAGCAGTTCACAGATCCACCTTCTTATGCACTTTCTAATTTCAAAATTAAATTTGATCTTTCAGTTTCCTCTATGATGTCTACATAAGCTCTCTGGATTTAGAAACACACTTGTGTTGAAATAAAACTGAGGAGTGTGGGAAGGTGTTAAACATATAATAATAGTAGCACATTCCACAATCAGAGAGAGAAAGCCTTTCAACCTGGCATGGTTTCATTGAGTTGTATCAAAAAAGGGAGAAAAACCTACTGAAAGATGACACATTGTAGCTGTCAAAATAGAACAAATAAAATGAAGAAGATACGAGACAAAGCAAAACTGCACACTAAGGAATCTGCACCCACTTTATGTGTTTTCAAATGTATGTGTTGCTGTCTTCACTTCACTTCAATGCTACCAACTGAGCATGCTCAGAGGCAGTGGGAGGACTACTTTCAATGCTATTATCTGAAGCCTAAACCTGGACCAAATGATCCACTAGTTTGGTTCTTGGTGGCACACATAATGACTCCGGCCAAAGGCAGTGACCAGGCCATGGAGATTTGCCTCTGCTTTGGAGGCCGCAATCACTGGAAAAGTTGTGTCATGTGCTCAGGCTGCTCTGGTCCTTGCTGTATCAAGGGCATCAGGAAGAACTCAGAGAAGGGCAGGAGAAACCACAGACACAGAAAGGGGAAGTGAGTGTGCACGTGCATGAAGGAAACTCTGAGACACCAAGAGTTGCCTGGTCCTCAACTGCAAGCCTGAGGAGCAGCCAAGGCCTCCCACTGCGGGCACTTGCAGGTTTTTGTATCAGGGTGAATCACCGTGGGAGGAAGATTATCATCGTGCTGACAGAAATAATAGGCAGCATCCTCACGTTTCAGGTCATTAATTGTCAGGGTGAAATCTGTTCCGTATCCACTGCCACTGAACCGGGAAGGGACGCCAGAGATAAGGTCAGTGGTATATTTAATGAGGAGCTTAGGAGATTCTCCTGGTTTCTGTTGATACCAGTGCATATCATTATCAATGTCTGTGCTGGCCCTGCAGGTGATGGTGGCTTGGTCTCCCACAGCCGCTGACAGGAGCGCTGGAGACTGTGTGAGGACAGTTTCTGCCAGCGAATCTGCCAAAAGAGGAAACAGGAAAAAGTAAGTTACATGCATCCTATTTGGAGAATATGAAAATATGTAATATTTGCTGGAGATTCTGAGGATTTGAATCCATGAAGAAGAACAAATGTTTCTCTTACCAGAAATCCAGAGGAGGAAGAAACTGAGGAACTGAGCCTGGGACACCATGACCTTGACTCTGACCTTCAAGTGAGAGTTGGCTTATCAAACAGTCAAAAACATGTATTATATGGCTTCAGAGGTATTGAGAGGATAATATATGGGAGGAATAGGCAAATTATAACATATGTAGTGGGGGTGGGGAGGTGGTGCTGAAGTGGCAGGCAGTGCAGCTGTTCACAGGATTCATGCATGATTTCATTTTCACAGCTGTTCTGACACTCAAGTGTGCCATAACCTAGCGGGCCGTGGCGGCTTCTCATTTCTTTGCTTTCCTTCAAATGCACTTTTCAGCCTGCAGGTTTCACTAGCACACCTTCTGCTGGTTTTCTTTTCTGTCTAACATGTGAGGACTAGACTCCAGGGAGATACACAGTCCTGTACTGTCCCGCGTTGACCCTGGTAACCAGGATCCTATTGTGTCCATCGTGATGGAATCCAGACCCGAGAGACCCTCTTCATCCTCATCTCGGCCGCGCACTCAGGTCCTGACTTCGCAGCTCTAGTTTTAGCTCACAGTAGCGCAAATACCACTTGCTGAATACTGACTGTGTTAAGCTAGAGCCCTAAGCCCCAGGAATTTTTGGTGTATTCACACTTTACTTTGACAAGATTCAATTAACTTATTCACAATGGACTGGGAACAATTACCTAGAGTTATTTTCTTTTTCATACATTTATTGCAGAATTTGAAAATGTAACTTCAGAATTACAGCTGCACATTACAGTATATGATGAACACAAGAAATCAGGTTAAGTGTACTTTTTGAAGGCAACACGTTGTTTATTTAAATAAAAGAGTCTACTTAGAAAAGGATGTCTTAAAAAGAGGGCAGTAATGAAATCTTAAAGAACAAAAAATATGTAAGAAGAGACAGAATATGTAGCTATATAGTCACACACAGAGATACACACATATAGTACGTGTAGGTATGACTTAGGGTTGTATCAATATAATGAAATTAATAATATCTCTAAATTAATCTTTGTAAGCAAAAGTCCCAAGGTTTCTCACCAAATGTGTCGTACGAGCAAATCACTGTACATAGAAAAAGTAGGAAAGGAAAACATCTATAATGAAGGTATCTTAACAATGGAAATGTGAAAAATAAAATAGGTAAAGGGTATTATTCAGTTATTCATACAAATATTAAAGCAAAGAGTGTGTGGAGAAAATGGACTTAACAGAGTTAAGTAACTTTTCTGTCGCATACTATTCAGTGAATTAATTTCACAAATTGCACCAAGTGATACCACATATTTGAAAATATGTTTAACAATACCAATAACTTATGACATGAAATTGTTCATAAAATATAAACTTAGATGATTCGTTGACCTTACATCAAAAGCATCACAAGGGAAACCTGCATAGTTCGCTCTTCATCAAAAGTACAGCGTCTGGGGGTCTGACCCAGGCTTCAGCGAGCGAGTGCAGCAATGAGTCCTACACTAGCTGACACTTCATGCAAGTCATATACTCCACAAAGAACTCATAACCACAATGGTTAGAGAATGCTCAAAATCTAGTAATAAAACTCACCACATTTTTACCACCCAAACCAAAAATAACACAAGTCAAACAAGAGTAAGTACACAAAGAAACAATTAACCAAAGAAGGCCTAGAGAAGACATAAACACCTTTAAAAATGTTAAATATAATGAAACTTCAGAAAAGGCATATTAAATGTACACACGCCTGTCAGAGCCTCTAACATTGGAAAACATAATGAAAGATTTACTGCTTATAAAGAAATCCAGAAAAGTGCCTAGTCATACATTGTTGATGGAGCTATAACATGATGCAGCAATTAGAAACAAAAATGTAACCATTTTTTTGATAATTGAAAGTGTAATTACACAATATTTCAGCAAAAGAATTCTTGGGCATGTGTTTTAGAGAAGGAATGCATATATTCACATAGAAATATAAAGAAGAGTTCATTGAAGTTTTATCTTTTCCACCTGGTATACTGCTCGCACGTTGCTCAGATAAAAAGGTTAAAAATTGTGGTGCACTGATGACTCAGCAATAGAAAGGGGCAAACTGTGAATAACTTGGATGAACTGCAAGGAAGTTATACGAAGGGAAAACAAGCCAGTCTCAGAACGGTACTCAGCACTGTACGGGACCCTTCAGGAAGTTTTGCTGGGGTCAATGGTGGTGTACTGAAGGGTGTGAACAGAAACAGCAGGTAGTCCTGTGGGGCTGAAAGAGATGAACATCTTGGCTATAATTTGATAAGACCAAGGTGCGTACTTTAACATTTGCAAAGAGCATCGCCTCTGTCTCCCACACACCACGTGTAAGCTGCAAGCACAGATATAAAGGGTGCCTGAGTGAGTTGTGAAAGTGTATAAACTCCAGGGAATAGATGAACACGAGCTTCTGGGTTGTCATGTTGTACTACAGTTATGCAAGGTGTCATCACTGGAGAGATCAAGGCAAGGATGTGTAAGACTTTCTTGTGCATTATTTTGTGACTTCCAGTTAATATATATCTAGAAATAAATGGCAAGAAAAATACTCTCGTCTTTATTCCTGAAAGGCCTGAAGAGATGAGTCTCTGTGTCTCCAGTGTTTGGGCAAATGTTAAAGCCTTTAGTTCTCCATCTACTGGTGAATGCAAGAACTTGTGTAGACTACAGGAAAGGAAGTTAGAGTAACAGAGTGAAATTAAAACAAATTCATTTGAGAAAAATAGCATAAAATGAAAATTCTTCAACTGGTTCAACTTTACTGCCTTCAATAAGAGATATTCTAGTATTTCCATAGGATGAAAACTAATACTCAAAGGAAGGGTTAATTTTATATCAACAATATGAAACTGAATTATGAAACATTTACTGCAAGAAGCAGGATTCTAAAAAAGTCATTAGATGATTTAATATTTGACATCTGCAGTAATAAAAACAGTGTAGAAGACTTAATAGAAGACCTTGCTTAAAGTAGTAAATTATATAATATGTATTTTTAAATATGTCTTACTAGTAGAATCAAAAATTGTTTAAACTGAAACTGTAACGATGCAGGGTGAAAGCCAGCATGGGAACTCAGTGTCCGTGAACACGTAGGTACTGGAATCCCTGGGTATGTTTGTAGAGCTGAATGCTTGTTTTTCATATTTAGAATATTATCATTTCATACAGATGGCATAACATGCTAATAAGTTTCTTATAAGAAATAGAAATGTAACCACATTACTTAGAATTGTGGAGTTAAACATATGGGAAGCATTGAAAGTTTCCATTTTCTAAAATACTGGGTGGAATCCAGAACTTAACCTGAGCCCCAAAGAGCCAATAAGATGACAAAGATGCACTCATATTCCCAAAATGCTCCAATTCCTGAAGTGAATATCTCAACATATTAGAACCTTAGCTAAAAAAATAACCACTGTCAATGGGTTGAATGAATTAGTTGTGGTTATTCAAATAATAGCGTGTTACACACCAGTGAAAACAAAATATCAGGCATGGAAATGGGTTTTTGGAGAGCTCCTGGATTTCTGATGACTTGAGAGATTAGATTTTCTTCCAAAATTTGGATGATGCTTAGGATACCTTTATAGAAAGTCGGGCTGCAGTCAGTGTGTCCATGAGTTGCAAAGAACAGGGAGCAGAGTGATACACAATGCCTGCTGGAGCACCTCATGCTCACGGCTGACCTCTTCTTGCCAGGGGTGAACTTAGTCCCTCATACTTGTACCCGCTAATACAGAACTAATGTGCTGTGCCTGTAAAGATAGCATAGGCAATTTCTCAGCCCCCTGAAGTGTTGTAGGTATACATTTTCACCTAAGAGAAATATCAGAGCTGATGAGGGGAGAGGGGAAAGACCCTCGGTCCCTAAAGCTTTGGTTACAACCCTGCAGCTTTGCATGTCTTCCTCTGAAATCACATGGCAGCATTGTTTTTAAAGAATGTTTAGAAAGATGGAAAAATTAAGACCAAAAGAAGGATAGTTGGTGCATAAACAAGCGCACTGTTCAAGTGATGCTCAGAATAAACTGTTGAGTAGTTGACAGTCTCCAGCTCCCTGGGTGCTTCTCAAGGGGAAATCGTCATGCCACCTGCAGAATCGCTCCTTACACTGCTCTGCTAGAAGCTAAGCACTCCTCCAAGGCTCTTGGATTATCACACATTAACCCAGCCTCCGTGTTCATCTGGCAACATTGGAAATGTTGCTGGAACCTCTGACTTAGTTATTTTTCTCACATTGCTAGTACAAAATACCTGACACCATTACAACCTCTTACTCTGGTGAGCAGTGCTCCCATGACCTCCTACAGACTGGAGCCTATACCACTTCAGTTCATCCTGGCCCAGCTCTTCTACCACATGACCTGGTGGAGAGATCAGACCTCTGTCTGTGGGTCAGGACTTCCCACCTCATCTCCAGAGCAACCAGCACTGAACAGCATTTAGGTTCTCCTAAAGGAGCACCAGGTTCTCCTCCAAGAGCACAGGGAACCATGTGGGTAAGGGCAGCAGCTGAGGTAGCCTGTGTCCAGTAGCTTGTGCAGTGGAAGGTCAGCTGGAAGCCATGTTGCAGATGTGCTGAGGGGCCCGGATGCAAACCCAGAAATTCAGAAGGCTTCTGAGCCAAAGCATGAGCAGGAAGGAGAGAAACCTCATTCCACTGGGGAATTATTATGGAAGAACTAACCCAGTTCCTGAACAATGTCACTCATCAGATCGTGAGGTGATGCCAAGAATCTGGGGAATGGTAGAAAGTTCCCAGTGTTCACACTGGATCATGACACAGAATGCGAGTGCTCTTGGGCTCATGTTTTTGTGTGGCTTCTTCTTAGAAAACAGGCTGCAAGCGACTATCCTGGAAAGGGATAGTTATGGGAGGAAGTTCAGTAGTAGGCAGAAAAGGAGGGCCAGACAGAAGAGAGCAGTCAAAAAAATCAGCTCATATCATATGTAAAGAAAAGTGTATGCTGACTCCTGTGTAGCAAAAAATGTGGGCTATTTGGATACTGTATTAAATTAAACATTTTTAAAATATCACTATCAAGTTAATAAGCTTGTAGAATTGTAAGCCTTCTTTTTCTTTCAAATTGTGTATGCCATTAACTAAACATGTATAATTTGACCAAAGTCCTATTTAACTGATAAAGAACACAGACAGACAAAAACAGTTCTAGGTATGATTTCACAAAAGAGTTGTGTGTTAATACCTGGGCAGTTATTAAAATAACATATTTTGAAGATTAGAAGAAATGTGTAGTCAGTGTCATCCATTCACTAGCTTTCCTTGCAAAATGACTGTAAGGTGCAATCCTTGAAATTTGTTCAGAGTTGTGTATAGTGCTGAAGTGTTCATGTCCCAAATAATGGAGGCTGTCTGTAGGTCCCCACGTCTCTTTCTTTACCCATAGCAGAAGGAAATGGACCTAGATGATCTATACACAGAGGATCATTTCAGAGCAGCTGCCACTTGCAGGTTTTAGGATGCAGGTGGACTTTGGAACCTCTACCTGGAGACACTGTCAGCTAGCAGATAACTTGCTGACTAGTCCCACTGTTCTACAAGATGCAAGACTTCCAGGAACAAATTGAAATGTTAGGAATGAGTCATCCAAAATACAACCTAAATAAACATATTACCAGAGTGAATGCACATTTATGTCCTATAATTGTGGCCTGTAATTTGTCAGAGACCAAGAGACTTATTCAACCCCAATTACGAAGACATGGAAAGTCTTGATAAGCAAGTAAGTTAGATCCTAGGATACTATTTGGACAGGAAAGACTGATTTTTAAATATTAAAACAAATGAACTTCATACCTTTCTCTAAGTTTCTGATAACACCCTGTCACCAGATCCTGTTGTTCTTCATACTATCTGGGAAACAAAGTGGTTTCATCCATGACTTAATTTCTAACCAATCAGATTGTTTTGTGTTCTATATTGATTTATTTACTCCATGTTATCTCTATAAAATTTGAGTGATAGTTCATTGCTTATGGAAATACCAAGCAGATTTTCTTTTCAATGAAAGAAAACCCTTTGCTTTCTTATTGCTATACACTTGAAGGGTTTGCTACACACTGAAATATCTTAATTTTCTAGATTAGACAAATTAACTCTGTCCAAACCCTGTGCCTCTCCATCAGACTGATGAAATATTTCAAGGCAGGCATTCTCATTTGAGAAGTGATTTAGAAACAAGGACCACAAAGAGAATTTTCCCAGTCAAAGCAGGTACTATATGTTTATATATGCTAATATTGATCGCAAATATACAGAGGTATATTTTCCATCTAGAATAAGAAGATTGCATACAGACCTGTGTGTATATGTGTGTGCAGTTATATGACCTTTAACATAAACACATGTTTATATAAGACAAGTCAGAAATTAACAAAAATATGAATGCATAAATATAAGTGTCTGTCTGTCTGTCCACATAGACACACATGTGTTGTGTATATACCTATTTTGTTGTGATGGGAAATGAGCCCAGTGACTTCTCAATGAGCTGTATCCCAGCCTTTTTTTTAGATATTGTCTTAATAGCTCCTCAGTCTGAACTAGAACCTATGATCCTCCCGCCTCAGCCTCCTACAGTGCCGGAATTATAGGCATACGCCAACTTTCCAGACCATATTCTTTTATTTATGGACTATATTTTTAAGACTTTATGATGCTTATGTATGTCTGAAAAGGACATTATAATCATTCTGTTTGGCTTTATTATAATTTAAAATATAAGTTAAATTAAATTCTAAATTTCTCCAATATTCTATATCTTTTTATGGCTGAATTCCTAAGTATTTTTATCCTATCGGGTTTTTTTTTAAATCAGTGCATTTGTATGTGTGGACATGTGTATTATTTTTAGTCAGCTTTGTAATAATAATAGTTTTTAATAAGCTCTGTTAAAATTTGGTGCTTCTAACTTTAAGCATTCACTGTTCTGCTCAAGGAGTTCCTTGTAATAGTCATCAGCTGGCTCAGGAAGGCAAATCTGTTTGGATCCACCCTAGAGACATGGGAAGGCTGCTTATTTGTGAACTGAGTTTGATCTGATCCACAGCAGACGGGCTGAACTGCCCAAGCACATTCCCTGACAAAATGGGGACTGAAGAAAGAAAACAAAGCTGTGCTGGGAAGCTTGAGGTCAGGAATCTCCTACACAGGTCCGCAATATATT